TTCAGGGAGCATGGACACCACCAAGAGGTCTCATGAGTAGTCAGCATGAGAATGGAGATATGAAAAGAGACTGAGCCATAGAAGAGAATCAGTGTGGTCAGAGGAGAGGCACAGGTGTTGAAAGCCTTTGTCCTTCCTTGGGGTTGAAAGGATCTCCCTGACAGTGGTAATGATGTAGTCGTTAAGAACCGATGTGGCTTCACCTGGGTGGTCCTAAAGAAATACAAGGCCAGCAGGGATGGCGGGTCACAGAAAAGGTGGTTAATAACTCATGGCTCTCAGAAATGCAGCTGGAATGTGATCTAGACCACTCTGGTTGAGGAATGTCCAGTATGGGTGGTAATGGCCATGCGTGGTGTGTGGCCTGAGGATTGGATATAGCAGGGAGCTGAGATGGCTGTATATCAGTCACTTGCTGTGGCTGTCAAGAGATGCCACCCAGTGTCTTCCATTCCAACAAAGAGGAAAAATGGCATAGACATCCAGAATCACACCCTACAAAGGAGATGGCCTTCTGCTCCTGGCAGAAATTAAAGAGCTTCTTAGAGGCTACAGAGGAGGCCTCTAGGAGGTTGTATCAGGTATCAACAAGGGACAAGTTACCAAGGAATAAATGCACAGGGGTGAGGAGGTGTCCTGATCAGGCCCCGGTTCCAAAGCCAGAGTTGGGAGGCAGATGCCCAGAAATCACACCAAGAGGACAACCTGCCTCTCTGAAAATGCCTAGAGTCAAACTGGTCATCATGCTGATGTCACTTTCCACACCATGTATCAACTCTCTGCTGCCTTTGGAGCCTTAAAGAAATTCCGGGGACAACGAAAGTGCAGGTGAAGAAATTGTTTTGTTGTGTGCTGGAATCATAGACACCCAGAATCATAACAGACACCAGAAGGCAAATATCCTAACTCTGATACAGAACCCCATCCACAGCGTGCACCAGATCCTTCACAGAGGTCCCCCTGGTCTGAGGCATTAGTTTATACAGAAGTGACAGGCCCCAGAAAAGAGGCTCGGCCATTTTTGTATTATCTGGATCATCACCTTTGTTGCCAACATCATCATGTTACCAAAGACAGTTACTCATTATACTTGGACTAAATACTTCTTTTTTCAGTTGTTCCAAGCATTGCTATTAGATTATTAAACCACCAAATTTAAACTAGATATTATTCTCTTCCTTAAGAGAAGAAACATGTCAACACGTAAAATGCTTGGAGAGGCGATTTTGTGTTTCTTCTCATCATGTTTGCTCTGAGCAGACTTTGCAGAGTCAGGGAGGTTTTCTTTCTCCTTTAAGCAGTGGAGTAAAGCACAGTAGAAATGAGAAAAACTGGCAACTCCTCAGAGACTAAAGAAAAGGGCTGAAAATTGTGAAATTCTAGTGCTCATGTAGCACAAATATTATCCGCTGAACACCTTGCACCATGTGTGTGACGAGAGCTAGATGCTGATGATGTGGAAGTTAATAAGACATTATTCTTAAGTTTGAAATACTCAGCATAATGCCCGGGGCAGACAGAAACACAGATAAACATGGCACAGTGTCCCAGGTGCTCTGAGAGAAGTACTTATGCAGTGCCCTGCAGTCGAGTGCCAGTTTCAGAGAGAAGGGCTCCTATCAAGAGCAGGATGAAAATTTGGTGTGTGAAGGGATTGGGAGTTGGTTGGTTCGGAGAGCTTCATACTAAACAGGGGGAAATAGCTGTAAAAGTACAGACAAGTATGGTGTCTGTGGCACCAGAAAAGACCAGCTTGGCAGGAATAAGGCTGAACAGAACTAAGAGAAGATATGAAATGTGAGTATTGAGAGCCAACAAGGGGTGCACAAGGTGAGAACTTCAAAATGAAAGACAGCAAATACATTTATTTGTTTCGTATATACATCTGTATGCACAAACCCACAAATGCATACACCATACACATATAATTGCATAAACTATATACATAGTTGCATATATGTATGAATATTCATATTTAACTACAACCTTCTGTCCACATCAGAACTTATGCCCCCTTTAGCCTGCTTTATTATTTTATAGCACTTACCACCTTCCAACATCCCACATAATTAATTTGCTTGTTGACTGTCCCCCTCCACTAGAATGCACACTTACCAAAGACAGTGTCTTTTTAGGATTTTTGTCTCTTGTTCATTGAAATATTCCAACACCTAGACCAATGCCCGGCGCATACTAGGTGCTCGGCAAATATTTGTTGAAAAACTATCACATTAAGGAGTTTGACCTTTTTCTTACGGGCAAGATGGGAAAACATGAAATGTTGGGGTTTTGTTTGTTTTAAAATGTTTTTTGTTTCTTGGTAAGCGGGGAACCAGGGGTCCGGTCTGGCTTTAACGGTAGAACTGAGAGTGGTGTTGAAGTGTCCAGTTGTGTAAAAGAGGGCTGAGAGGGAACGGAGCCTGGGAACAAAGAACACAGAGTTCTCCAAATGCCAAGAAGAAAGGTAATGACGATTTGACTTGAGATCAGTAGATTTAGAAACAAATGCTCCCCCAAGGTAGGGAGGGAAGAGAAATTATACGGGGCTAGACAATTAGTGTCCCCACCTAGCTCTGCACATAGACAGACATCAAAGGTATATTTAGCAAGATTCGTCACAATTCTTTTCTATTGCAACACCAAGCATCTATGATTTCTACTCTATTACATTTTAAAATGTGACACAAGCTAGTTGCCAATCACTTTATATGATTACTATGTAGATATCCTGGTTACTTTGACCTGAACCATATGGAGGTAAAGATACAGGAATAGATTGTGTTGCATATATTACATTTCCTTGTACCAGTAAATTTATACAGATCTGCATGATCTGAGAACCACCACCATTTATCTTTACAGTGTTTTAATTCTGGGCAGCATTTATATATCCGTCTTCTTATTCGTGGTCATCCAAAGCGGGTGGATCAACCGGTCTCTGATCCTGGCCTCACTGCTCCTCAGATCTGTGGCCTTGGCCAAGGGCACACATCTCTCTTAAATCCCCTCTTTGCTTCCTTCAACTGTATAATGGAGAGTCATAAGACTGATCCATAAAGATTAAGCAAAATAAGAAAGGCTGAGTTATGCAGAGAAAAAGAAATAATTTTCTTCTACCCCATTCACCTGTTCAGCACTGCCAGGACTCGACCCTGATCTTTTCATCCCCAACCCATGATATGCTTCCACTGCACCTGCTGCCTAAGCACAGATGCGTGTAGGGGTGTGTGGTGAGAGTGGCTACACCAGTCAATGCCCCTTACTTGTGTTACTGCCAATCTTTGTGGCAACATGTTGGCTTGTTTCATAGCACTTAGCTCACTTTGTACTTATTTTTGCTTGCTTACTTCTCTGTATTTTTAACTGTAAGCTCTTGGCAGGGGGGTGCATTATAACCCCAGTGCCTCACACAGTGCCTGGCACATAGTAGACATTAAACAGCATTCACCAAATGAGTGAATTCAATTTATAACAATTCTCAAAGACACATATAAGGCTAGGAAAGAATTCTACCCATGTGTCTGGGCAATCAGTAAGATTATATTACAGATACAACTGCAGAAGGTCTGATCCTGCTTCTATCCCAACTGATTGGACACGACTGGTTATGTGGAATTTGAATTCTGAAAATTATTGTAAAGAATTTGCTTCGTGGCTCGGTGCCTATAGCTCAACCGGCTAAGGCGCCAGCCACGTACACCTAAGGTGGTGGGTTCGAATCCCCAGCCCGGACCCGCCAAACAAC